CTCCAGGCTCTGTCCCAAAGCCATATCTCATCTCCAGGACCTGTTGTGTCCTTTCCCTGTTGGAGGACGAGCCACACCACGGCTGTGGATGCTGGGATCTGCCTGGAGACACGATGAGGTCAAATATAAAGGTTTGGGATTAGTGGGGGAGTCTTTCCTGCTCCCCTGCAGCAGTGCTGGAGATGAAATCCCACGATTTCATGGCTGCTCACATCCCTGCTGAGGCAAAAAGGCATCTCCTGTGCTGGCTGTAACTCCAAGGGCTGACAACTTTTTGAGGGTTGCGTGCAAACACTCAGAGCAGGCGCCCTTGCCAAAAATAATGGTGCCTCTTGCCTCGTGCCAGCACTGGCATTGAAGCTGTGCACTGAGATCCAGCCTGGCAAAGGCTGCCAGTGTCAGACTGTTCCGGAAAAACCGAGTTATTTTCAACCTGGAGCAGTTCCCTGGGCTGGCTCCCCGCAGCCCTGTGCCAGTGAAGGGGGGCAGGGACAAGTAGCCCTGGCAGGGGTGGCCAGCAGCACCTCTGGGTGCCCCTTGGCGTGGGTGGGTGTCCGGCAGGACGCTGCCCATGGAATGTGGAGGGGCAGGATCCTTCCTGCCACACTGCACTGTCCTGGTGAGCCCCACGTCACCCTGCTCTGCAAGAGCCACCCGAGGGACAGGAGGGTTTGGCCAGGTGGGTGCCAAAGCCACCTGTCCTTGGGCAGGGGGGTGTGAAGATGAGCTGCCTCACACGGGCTGCCAGAACAAGGCTGGTTTGGTTCCTGCTGGCACAAGCTGCTCCTCTCCAGCCGTTTTCCCAAACACCATAAGCTCTGCTATAAATAACAGCGTGGAGGATGAGCTGAGGTCAGCTCGAAGCTGCAGGCAGGGGCTCAGGAGGGAGGGCAGAGGTGCCTGTGTGAAGGACACGCTGCTGCTCTCAGGTGTGTGCCAGGGCAGAGAGGTGTCCCAGAGCTGCCAAACTGCAAACCTGGGACCAGATCTGACTGACACACATCCCTCAGTCGTGCCAGGAGCTCACACTTGCCCCTCCTGGCAAAGGGCAAAGGGATTCCGAGGTGATTTTGGCTGCCCAGGACTCAGTGACACTCGCTGGTGGTGTCTTGGTTTTGTCTGAATTTGTCTGCAAAACCCATTTGCACCTGGGTTTTGCTCACTTACAGGGAAATGGGGTAAAATTGTCTTGGGTTCTCCATCTCTCTGAGACATTAACACTTCAGAGAGCAGATCAGAGCTCGGGCTGCTCACACTGGAGGCTTGGCCATGCAGCAGGACTTCTGGCCTGCCTTTTGGAAAGGGAAGAGAGAGGATTTATTCCTTTCACTCTCTCAAGTGAAGCAGATATAAAGATGTTTTCATTGTCTCAGTGGCCCTGAAAGATGTGAAAAACAATAATGGACAGGAGTTTTGTGTTCTCCCTGCGAGCAGGGAATTCAGAGATTCTCCTGCTCTCTCCTGGTGTCTGCAGAGCTCCTTTCCAGGCTGTGGGAGATGTCCCTTCAGTTTTCCAGCCTGTTGCTCTGCCATGTCACTGCCAAGCTGGGATAACCCTTGCACTGTCCCCTGGAGCTCCATCAGAGTCCCCAGCCTGGCAGAACATTAACCCAGAGAAAGCACCAGGAGAAACCATGTGGAAAATTTTCTGAGGTTTACAGAGCTGAGCTCTTGGAGGGTCTGCTGACCTGCCAGAGCTGGGCAGTGAGAGGGAGAGCAGGAAGGAAAGAGGATGAAGAAGAGAGACCACCCTGAGTATGAGCAGCAGCGAGACCCGAGGTCAGCTCAGCCTGAAATTCCCCTCCCAAGTGACATTTTCAGAGCCATTTAATTGGAATTTTAAATCCAATCTCTGGACACAGTGCTGTCACCCGGACACCCTGAACAAGGAGCTGTCCCCTGTCCCCAGAGCTGTCCCCAGAGCTGTCCCTGGGCACAGAGCTGTCCCCTGGATAGAGCTGTCCCCAGAGCTGTCCCCAGGACACAGAACTGTCCCCAGAGCTGTCCCTGGATACAGAGCTATCCCCGGGACACAGAGCTGTTCCCAGGACACAGAGCTGTCCCCAGAGCTGTCCCCAGGACACAGAACTGTCCCCTGGACACAGAGCTGTTCCCAGGACACAGAACTGTCCCCTGGACACAGAGCTGTCCCCTGGATAGAGCTGTCCCCAGAGCTGTCCCCAGGACACAGAACTGTCCCCTGGACACAGAGCTGTTCCCAGGACACAGAACTGTCCACTGGACACAGAGCTGTCCCCTGGATAGAGCTGTCCCCAGAGCTGTCCCCAGGACACAGAACTGTCCCCTGGACACAGAGCTGTCCCTGGAAACAGAGCTGTCCCCAGAGCTGTTTCCAGAGCTGTCCCCAGAGCTGTCCCCAGAGCTGTCCCCAGAGCTGTCCCCAGAGCTGTCCCCAGGACAGCTGTCCCCGGCAGGCAGGAGGTGGCAGCATTGCCTAGCCCAGCAGATCCTGCTCTCCTGCATAGCCACGCACGGGGCTCTTTGCCGGGCCAGGAGCTCCAGACCTGTTTTTCCAGCTCCTCCAAGGATACGTGACTCAAACCAAACGCCTCCCAACTGCTCAGATCCCATCGGAGCCACCATTAAACACAACCCCAAAGGGCCAGAGAGGCACATCAGCCCTGAGCTGTCTGCAAATCACAGGGGGCACCTGAGGACACGGGGCTCTGCTTTCAGGAATGGCTGTGATGTTCAGATACCTCATTTGCCCTTGAAGCTCCAGCCCCCTGAAGGAGTGTGTGATGCATCCCAGATCCCCCACACGAGATCCACAACCCCTGTGAGTGACAGGAGTGAGGATATTCTTGCCTGCACGAATGCTCCCTGACAGAGCCGAGGTGGGAATGAGTTGGAGGCCAGCTCGTTCTCGGAGCATCGTTTTCCTTCTGGTGCATCTGGCTGATTTTGAGTCATTTGCATTTCAATTTTTTTCATCAGAGACGCAGAGAGAGCTGTAGTAAAACCTTGGATTTGAGCTCCCTGAAACACAAGGGGAACTTGGAGATGATATTTGCCATGCAGGGCATTGCTGAGTGCCAATCTTCCCTCACCAATCCTCCTGGTCTCTCACTGTGGAGTCATCTGGAGCTCACTGAGTCCACCACAGGAAGAAACTGAGGAAAATCACAGATTTCCCTTCCAGATGGACACAAGCCAGAGCTCTTTTGCACTTGTGCAGGCAGAAAGTGTTTTTACCAAGCTAGAAAGCAACATGGTGAGTTCAAGAAGAGCTTCTTCCACCGTGTGGATGCTGTTCTGTGAGAGAACTCCTCCACCTTCATATCCTACTGATATGCCCTAACCTGGATGTCTCAATCTCACTCTTCTGCAAAGCAGTCAGCCATTAAAAAAAAAACAAATCCATGCATAGACAGGTCTTAAAATCCATATTTTTATTATTTCCATGGCTTTGGGTGCACCAGGCAAGCTGGGAAGCAGTTTCTGCCTGCCTGCCTTTAAAGCAGACACCCTGAGTAGGCTTTCCTTCTACTTCCATGAGCTACATTACTGGAGGAGCTTTCTCTCTCTCCTGCAGACTGAATCATTTCCCAAATGTAGCCTTGCACGGCAGAAGACGCCGCTGTGACAGAGAGTGATGATGAGTCACCGGGAATTCACAGTTTGGTGTTCCTGCAGAGGGAAAACTCACAGTGCTGAGAGAGAGAGAGAGAGAGCGAGAGAGGGGGCAATGCAGGAGATTTCACTTCTGACAGCCAGCAAGGAGCAAGGATTTCACTTCTGACAGCAAGGAGCAGCCCCTGGAGCATGAGAGGCTGGGGCAGGGTGACCCTGGCCAGGACACACCTGGGTTTAGGGACCACATGAAGATGTGCACCACAGGGATGTGGCTGTGATGGGTGGCTCTGTTCATGGTGTCTTTGTCAGAGGGTCACAGGCTGCTCCTGGGTCCTCACCTGGAGTGACCACCCAGGACCTGCATTGCTGTGCAGGGCAACAGGCCCAGGGTGGGAGGTTGAGGTGAATTGTGGAGCAGGGAAAGGTGATGGAGCAGGGAAAGGGTGATGGAGCAGGGGAAGGTGATGGAGCAGGGAAGGGGTGATGGAGAAGGGAAGGGTGATGGAGCAGGGGAAGGTGATGGAGCAGGGGAAGGTGATGGAGCAGGGAAAGGTGATGGAGCAGGGGAAGGGTGATGGAGCAGGAAAAGGTGATGGAGCAGGAAAAGGTGATGGAGCACGGTGTGTGCGCTCAGGAGCACAAACAGCTCGGCCCCATGATCCCCTCATGGATACGGATTGTGGGTTTCAGAGAATCACAGTTTGTTAGGGTTGGAAGGGACGTCTGGAGATGGTCCAGGCCTGGAGCAGGGGGCACGGGAATGCGTCCAGGTGGGTTTGGGATGTGTCCAGAGTGAGAGACTCCACAGCAGCTGTTCCAGGGCTTTGCCGCAGTCATGGAAAGAATCACAACACGCCAGGATTGTTTGGGTTGGAAAAGATCTCCCAGATCATCGAGTCCAACCTGTGACCGATCCCTCCTTGTACCCAAGCACTAAGTGCCCCATCCACCCTTTCCTTAAACACCTCCATGGAACGGAGTGGCTGTGTATTTATTTCTCCACAAACCAGCCCGTTAATGTACACACACGTTGAGGCCTGGGCTTTGAGGAGAGCCTGGGAACAGCACCATATGCGGGGTGGCATCTCAATGGCGGCTGACCGAGCCCCTATCCCTGTGGCGGATCCCCCGGTGCCTCAGGGCCCGGAGCTGTGTGGGCAACGCAAAGAAACCCCCACGCCACCCCCGCCCGCTACCGCCGCCTGCCCCTTTAAGACCGAGTGAGGGCACGTCCGCTCTCCCCGCCCTCTTCCGCCCGGACTGGCGGACCTGCGGTCTACGCATGAGCACTCCCGCAGAGCACCCAATCACCGCTCTCAGCTCGGAGGCGGGGCGCTAAGAGAGGGCGGTGATTGGCGCAGCGTAACGAGGGGGCGTGGTTTATGTGGCAGCGCCCCGCCCCTCTCCCAGCGCACCCCGCGCGGTGAAGAAGCGGCGGCCGCGCGCCGGGGGCATTTTGTGTCGGCGGCGGCGGCTCAGGCACAAGATGGCGGCGGCGGCCGAGTGAGCGGCCGGCGGCCGCCGCGACCCCGCGAGTCCCCCCCCTCTCCCTTCCCTGCTCTCACAAGCACCTCGGGGGCCGCTTCTCCTGTTTCTGGAGCGCGCCGAGAGCCGGGGAGCGGCGCAGAGCCGCGCAGGGGGGCCGCCCGCCCGAGGGCCCCGGCTGGAGCTGAGCGCGGGGACCGTTCCTTGGCTGCGCCGCTCTCCCCGCTGCCAGCCCCTTTCCCCTCCTCGGGGGCGGCCGTAGAGGCCTCGTTGTCCCGCCGAGCCGGCCGGGAGGGCCCGAGAGCCGCCCCTCGCCATGGCGAGCAGCAGCGGCTCCAAGGCCGAGTTCATTGTCGGAGGCAAATACAAGCTGGTGCGGAAGATCGGGTCGGGCTCCTTCGGGGACATCTATTTGGCGATCAACATCACCAACGGGGAGGTAAGGGCCGCTCGCACTCCCCCCTCAGCTCCCCAGGGGGAGCCGGGCACCAGCCATGGCCACTCCGAGCCCCACCTGCCCCCGGCTGTGCCCTCCTGGTCCCCGGGATGGGGCTCTTCCTTCCCCCGAGGGTCTTGATTTCCCTTCTTTCCCCTCTATCAGGGGCTTCATTCCCCGCCTTTCCCCCGAGGGTCTTCATCCCTCTCTCCCCCACCGAGGGTCTTCCTCGCTGCCCTTTCTACAGTAGAGCCCTGCAGTCGTGGGCTCCCCCACCCAGCACTTGGGAGAGGAGAAAAGAGGCAAAAACCATTGTGGGAAAACATATTTAAACATATTTGTGTTTTGTGAGCGGCCAAAGTCGTCGTCCCTCGCCCGCCATTCATCTCCTCCTCTGCCTCAGCTGGGGAACACTTTGTATCTCCTTTTATCAACACTAATAGAAACAAAGAAGATCCCCTGTTTTTCCAGCTTTTCCTTTGGGCTTTTTTTTTCTTTTCTTCCTCCCCCTCACGGCTCTGAGCTGTAAAGAAGAAACACCCACGTATGTTCTTCCTCACTTAAGTGATTCTGAAGACTCCACATCTCTAGCTCAAATGCATGACCCGGGATGGATATTAATGTACAAATCACCGCGATGTGGATTGTATTGGAAGACGCCACAAAACGCAGCAAGCACGTCGAGCTGGGAAATAAATAAATATATACATACCCGAAAGTGTTTGCATCAGGGGTGTGTTATGTGGGGGATGTGGAAGTGCTGTGCCCCTTAAAAAAACCTCGGTGCTCGGTGGACGCTGTGCCCTGACTCCTTGTTCCCTCTCACTGCAGGAAGTTGCTGTGAAGTTGGAGTCTCAGAAGGCTCGGCACCCCCAGCTGCTCTATGAAAGCAAATTGTACAAGATCCTGCAGGGAGGAGTTGGCATCCCACATATACGGTAGGAACCAGCCGTGTGTGCCAGTGGCGTTTCTCTATGGTTGGCATGACTTTTTTTGGTCATGTTCATTACTGTGTCTTGGCAGTTTTGTACTTTTTAGCGTGAGGCAGGGCACCAAAGAAAAGAAATTTAGCCGTGCAGGATTGGGGCTGATAAGGGGGGGAAATGCTCCATTCCAAGCTCTCCAACTCGCTGGGTTCTTCTGGCAGGCCTGCTGGCTTTATGGAGAGCGAGAAATTCTTGTGGCCATTAGAACAAAGTGTGAGGAGGTTGTTTCTCCGAGAGGCAGAGAGTTGTTAGCCGGCCCTGGAAATGGCTGCTTTCTTTTGTTGCCTCTCTCTCTCTCTCTCTCTTTTTTTTTTTTTTTTTTTTTTTTTTTCAACATGTCTTCCTGCTCCGCTCAGAAAATGGCGGCTGGACGTGATTAACCCTCCCCCTTCTCCTGGTGGGACAAGGGACGTGCTCGGGCTTGTGCCTTTTTCCTTTCATAGTTATGAGCCGCCAGCCTTGAGACTGCAGAGAACCTGGAGCAGGAATGAAATGGCAGCGGCTCCTTTCTGCTGCCCGCAACAGATGCGTCACCAGGGCTTGGATTAATCCCTCCCAATTCCTCATTATGCGGCTCCTTGCTTCGTATTCCAGCTGAAACTTTCGGCAGGGTTTCACAATTTCCTGATCTGGGAGAAAATCGCTGGTGCAGGACTCCTGAGAGTAGTTATTCCTCAAGGGATTATCCAGGTGTTACCCTAGGGCTATGCCCAACTCTGGAATCTGGGCATTAAAGAGTTACACAAAACTTCAATTTGCTCCAGCCAGACTTTTTGCAAGTTGTTCCTTTTTTGAAACTTTGTTAATAATTGTTTTTAAAGTTTGTATTTTTTTTCCTTGATACAATAACGTAAAGGATTTTTGTTCCTTGAGCTGCACAAACTATTTCAGTTTATATTCTGTGTCAAACTGTGGATTCCATTTAATTTAACCCTTCCTGACTTTGTACAAGATCGATAGCGACATTTTAAAGTTCTCGCGATGACATAGCCAAGATTCTGTATTAATTTAGACAAAGCCTAGCACCAATCTGCATTTCTGAGGTTAAAAGCTCCCTCCTCCTTGCCCCCAAACACAACTGGCTGTGATCCTGAATGTGAGCTGGAGGAGACAGTGTTGTCCTGGCCATCTGTCCTCGTTCACTCCAGCCTTTTGCAGGGATACAATCAACATACCTGAATTAAATACTCGCAGCCTCAACAGAGTTGCTGCTGTGAAAACGGATGCAGTCTTGCTTTGAGAATACAGTTTCCTTCTTTTCTCATATGTGGCTGCCTTTATTTCACAACTGAAAGGATAGGAATTGCAGTTTGGAAAACTTTCATGGTATAGTTGCATGCTAAAACAGGGATAACTGGGAAAACAGCCAGGGCAAGCAGATATCAGGTGTTTCATCACAGAACTGGAAAAGCAGGCATTCTTGGACTGCTTTTTTGAAAAGTAAATGAGTGAGTGGTGCTATAATGAGGCCAAGTTGCAAATTTTTGGCTTTTCCACTGAGATACTGTTTAATTTCTTGTATTTGGTTAAAATGTCCTGGGAAATGCTGATGATAACCTTGAGGCATGTTGAGAAACTTGTCTCTAGCTTCAACTACAACTTTCCTCTGTATTTGATGTTTTTCTACCCCATAAAAATAGTTCAAGATCCAAAAACATTGAGACTGGATAAATGAGACAGCACTCACCAAACTGATTCATAGACTCATTGTGCTAAATGTGTGTGATTATTGAATAATGTCAGTCCTTTCAGGTTCTCACAGTGTTAATCTTTGTAGTATTTTTCTAGAAAAGTGGTTTTTTTGGAAATGCTTCTTATTTTCAGAAGTAGCATTAATTTTAAATCTATTTTTATGTGCCAGATGCTCATTGAGAGGTTTCTCTGAGGTGCTGGTATCGGTTTGGTGATGCTTGAGAAAATCTAAAGCAAAATTTTTTAGGTTTATGTTCTTCTAAAAGGAAGCTGAGTAAGGGATCAGCACAGTTCTTGTGACAAATATCAAAATGTTCAGTGTTTAGTAGAAGAGGAATCCGTGGTGCTCTGAATCCCAGTCAATACTTAGGTCACTTTGCATGTGTCATTGATAATCCATGTGCCACCATTGTGTTATAATAATCTGCTGTCACATTGCTGTAAGCTCTTCCTGCCTCTGTATTCACAAGGATGAATCAAGCTAAAGGAAAGTCAGTACATTTGGTAAAATTTCTGTAATGTGACACCTTTGAACAACAGCAGCACAAGAATTTGATAGGAAATGAAGGAATCATGCCAAGATTTCCCCATTGCCATGCTTTATGAAAATGAGCCCACATCTTGGACACATCAACACGAAAATTTGTGTTTCTCATTTGAGAGTGAGGAACTTTATTTTTCACCTACTTAAGTGATGCACGGGCCAAAATCAACTTCCTGGAAGTTGCATGATGTGACTTTGCCTCACTCAAGTGGTCTCTGCTGTGGTTCTGTGACTCAGAGCTGAGATAATAAATGAGGTCTCAATTCCTCATTCATTGGGGCTGCTGTTTCTAAAGCTGACTTCTGCCTTTCGATGTGATTGCAGCTTGGAATTGCAAAAACACCTGTCTGGAGTGTCACTGAAGTTATCTAGAACCGAGCAATTCTTTTTACGGCATTTAAGGTTGATTTGAGGGAATTTCTGGCTCATTGCAAGAAACTAATGAGCAAAAATCTCAGTTTTAGGGTTAAGAGTTTAATGTTTCTGTGAGGTCAACAGTGAGCCTTTACCTGTTGTGGAGGTTGAACAAGGGGCCTTGGTCCTTAATTCCACTGTAACAGAACATTTTGTTTGCACAGAAAGAAGCAAAAAATGAAGTTGGCGTGAATAAATTGGAAATTTCGTTCTCTGAATATTCAAAACCCTTTTAGATCTTTCAATTTGCTGCTTGTTGTTTCTTGGAAAATCAGCAAAGTTTCTGAAATTAACCTGAAAGTTTCACAAAACCTTCATTAACACTTGCAAAAATTTTTCAGCCGTGTTTTATTCTTGATGTCCACATTTTTTTTGCTTCATTATTACTTTAATTTTTCCCAAAAGGCTGTTGAACCAAGCTTAACATTGTGACAGTCTGCTGTGCCTTTAGGACACAATGGCCAACCCCCAGCATTCTGCTGGGTTTATTCTCATTGTTCTCCCTCATCAGCTGCCCTTTGCTTTTTTTTTTTTTTTTTTCCCCCACTCTTTTTCAGTGACAAAGCATTTTGAGCTGTAATCTTGTTAACTGGGCACTGATCCTATTAGTTGGGAACTATCCACCTTTATTCCCCAATTCCTGGTGCTGCCTTGGAGAAATGCAGCAGAGTGTGTTTGATTTTTGGGTATTTGTTCACAGCATAACTCTGGTAAAGCTTTATTCACTTATTTAAATTATCTAGGACAGCCACTCTTTTTTTTTGCCATTTATGGTGTTCATCAACTATTGGTTGTATCCTTGATGAAGATCAGCTATTTGTAAATTTAAAAACAGAAAGTTACTGACTTAGTGTTTTTTGAGTTTTGGTTTTTTTTTCAAAGTTCTCTTGCAAACTGAGTGAGTCAGTCTCTACACTTCTGAATTTTTCAATGCAATACTTGCAAATATTTTGATGTTGAGAAATTCTCAATTAAGTTGAGTTTTCTAGAAAAAAATTATCTACAATATTTGTGCTTTTGGTTGATTACTGCCATGTTGCTGGATAATTATTAATAGAATCTACCCTTATACATCTTCATTAAATACTACCTATAATGGAAAAATGTGATCAAGGTTGGTAATCTAAGAGTTAATCACAACCAAGTTTGCCTCAAGCACTTGAAATATTGAATTTTTTAGCAGTGCTTAAAAAGCTGTAAACACACCTCTCAAAAACCTTCATTTTTAACTTTCTCAGCAACTTCTTGCAGCATAAAACCCCCCCAACCAGCCACCAAAAAAACCCCAAACCACCATGAGAAAAACAGAAAAACACTCACTAAACCCACAAGCAACCCCACTCCCCCCTCAAAAAAAAAGATTCTGTCCATAAATTTCACTATTAATTTTGTTATTAGTTACTTTGCATATTGAAGGGTAGAACCATCTGATAGATGTGCCTGTAAATAAAATGGAGGATAATCTTTTAAATGAATACCTATGGTTCCTTCATTAGGAAAATAAATATATATAAATGAAATTGATTTCCTGTTTTCCACCACTCTAAACTCTTGTGTTAATTAATCTTTGTGGAGTCTGTCAAAGCATCCAAGAGACCACAGTTTGAAATATTTTTTTCCCCCTGCCTTAACTCAGTTTTTGGAGTTTGAGGTCAGCATTACTCTTGTTTGAAACAAATGAGCACAGATAATATTAAAATATCATTTTCCTCAGTGATGTTTGCTGTCCCTGCCGTGGATTAATGGTTCACCTTCTCACTGAGCTGCAACTCCTGACTTTTGCAGGGGAAATTCAACTCCTGACTTGCTCCCAGGTGTTAATGGAGTTTGTTGGAGAGCTCAGCAGAGCAGGGAGTGAGCTGCACCATCCCCCTGGGCACATGAAACCTCCTCCTTGCTGTGCTGGCATCCTTGGTGGATTTGCTCCCAGAACTGTACAAAAAGTGATCCAGAATTGTATTTATAGAGTGGAGCCAGCTCCTTAGCGTGGGGTGTTCATGGCTGTTTCTTTATTTAGTGCTTGGGTGGCCTAATTCATGCTCTCCATGGCAACTAACGTTAGGTGACATCTGCTAAATATTGCACTTCAGGATTTCAGTCATGCCACATTATGTGAAGTTCATTTCTATTACTCCTAGCTGGCTAACAGTTAAGTGCTTTTCCAGTTTCAAGGGAGATAAAGTAGAAATATAAAAATGTATCAATTTAGAAATGAATCTCTGATGGATTACCTTTCTCTTCTGTGTTGTTTCAGTGTCTGGAAGACTCAGTGCATTTTTACAGGCATAATTCACTTTCCAGT